CATCTGTAAGACAGGAGGCAAAATCCTGCTTATTTTTTCTCTTTTGCAAAGGAAAAATATCTATGTATATATGTAAGTGGTACAGTATCTTGCGATAGTCCATTATTCTATTTTCCCCCCTGAAGTCCAAGGGGATAAACAGAACAATGGCAAAATTATAATAGAACCAGAACAAATATCTGTGCAATTGCAATAGTTAAACCATAATTTTTACATGCATCCAAGAACTAACTGTTTATGAAGGTTAAAATAATCAATTACAGCTAATGATTGGAAAATAAGTATACCTAGTTCCTTTCATTGGCCAAGCAATAAGGCCAAGCTTGTGCTGCAGAGGGGGACATATTTTGAACTTGGCTGATTAAAAGCCTGGAACTTGTTGTTTTTATCAGTCCATTAATGTTTGTAGCTGCGGTTAGAACTGTTAAGGACTTCTATAATAAGCTTGTCTAATTAGGCTCAAAACAAAGCCATCCAAGCATATACATAGATGTCTTCAGTTCACAGAGGGGTTAGAAAATTCTATATAACTGAGCACAAATACTTAAGAAATCCCACATTTGAATGTCAGTTTTAACCTCTGTGTGAACATATCTCTGTTCAATTATTCTTTTTACAGTATTATTATATCTGATATGGCATATTTTCCTGGAGATTTTACATCCCAATAAATAATAATAATAATAATAATAATAATAATAATAATAATAATAATAATAATAATAATAATAATAATAATAATAATAAAAGTTGGAAGGGACCTTGGAGGTCATTGAATCCAACCCCCTGCTCAGGCAGGAAACCCTACACCAGTCTCTTCTTAAAAACTTCCAGTGTTGGAGCATTCACCGCTTCTGGAGGCAGGTTGTTCCACTGGTTAATTGTTCTAAATGTCAGAAAGTTTCTCCTTAGTTCTAGGTTGCTTCTCTCCTTGATTGCTTCTCTCCTTGATTAGTTTCCATCCTTTGCTTCTTGTCCTGCCCTCAGGCACTTTGGAGAATAGCTTGACTCCCTCTTCTTTGTGGCAGCCCCTCAGATATTGGAACACTGCTATCATGTCCCCCCTCGTCCTTCTCTTCGTTAAGCTAGACATACCCAATTCCAGCAACCGTTCCTCATATGTTTTAGCCTCCAGTCCCCTAATCATCTTTGTTGCTCTTCTCTGTACTCTTTCTAGAGTCTCAACATCTTTTTTACATCGTGGTGACCAAAACTGGATGCAGTATCCCAAGTGTGGCCTTACCAAGGCATTGTAAAGTGGTATTAATACTTCACGTGATCTTGATTCTATCCCTCTGTTAATGCAGGCCAGCACTGAGTTGGCTTTTTTGGCAGCTGCAGCACACTGCTGGCTCATATTTAAGTGATTGTCCACTAGGACTCTGAGATCCATCTCACAGTTACTACTATTGAGCAAGGTACCCCCTATACTATACCTGTACATTTGGTTTTTCTTGCCTAAATGTAGAACCTTACTTTTTTCACCATTGAATTTCATTTTGTTACATAGCGCCCAGGGTTCAAGTCTGTCCAGGTCCTCCTGTATCTTAAGCCTGTCTTCTGGAGTGTTGTCTATTCCTGCCAGCTTGGTGTCCAAATGTGGACAAATAACTGATTTATACATGTTTGTGCATATATGGTTGTTTATATATACAAAGGCCAGAGACCACAATAAAAAAAATAGGCAGGACAAAATATAGAATCCTGCTTATCAACCACAATAGGACAGTAACACTGTTGCTAAGAGCTCAGTAGCTAAGTGAAAAATCACGTGATTGAGCTGAACTTGTCATTTCTGCTTCTGTCATTAAGCAAATGACTGCAGTTATTAAGTGAGACATCACATGATCATAATTTGTGATTTGACTTCTGTGTTCTCCATTAATTTTGCTTGCTGGTTGTGAAGTTCACAAATGGTGATCACATGAGTGCAGAAAGCTGCCATAGTCATAAATGAGGATCAGTCGTGAAGCTCATGAATGGTAATCACATCTATGGAATACTGCAAGAGCTGGAAATACGAGAATTGGTCACAAATGTGTTCTTTTTTCACCTGTTGTAATTTTGAATAGTTGCTAAACAAGGCAGTAGGTAAGCAAGGACTATCTGTAAATAAATAAATGATTACCCATACACAAATATGACTGGGATGGTATAAGACTCCTGCCCTCCCTTCAAGCCCTATGATTCTATGAAATCACACACAATCATGCAAACACAAAAGAGGGGAAGATTATGGGCGCCTCATTCAGCAAGCATAAACGGTATATATTCACTCTGTAATATGTCTCATTGACTTCACTAACTCTTACTCCTCAATCAGCACATCAAGGACTTTTAGTCCTGATATGTGTGTGTACTGCCTGCATTCTCCTATCTTTCCTCTCCCTGGATACTGGGGAAATTGTTTTTCTCCATTTAAAGTCTTCATTGATTGAGAATTTTGATTTTTCCCAAGCTCTTATTTGCATGGACAGCTTTCATAGGTACCAGCAATTAAATAGGAAAACTGTTTCAATTAGATAAATTGGCTCTTCTTTCTCCCTTCCTATTTTATTTTGATTAACACAAATATATGTGGATAAATAAGCCAGTAATAGTTGCACACAATGGCAGCAAACAGAACTGAAACTCCATGAGGTTGAATAGATAGTAATTTCTGACAAACTTAAAAGTTATATTTGTAGAAGTCTTTCAGATGACATAGTATCCATTAATTCTGAATTCCTATGTGTGCAAACAGATTACACTGATTGATTGTGTGTCAAGTCATTTTTTATTCTTAGCAAGGTTTTTCTCCATGACATCTGTCCCTAATCTGGGCTTTCAGGTCTTTCCAACAGTGGACTCACTGCCTCTGTAACTGGGTTAATCCACCTTATGGCTTGTCATCCTCTTATTCCCTTTTCTTTCACTTTTCCCAGCATCACAGCCTTTTCCAGAGAACTAGGTCTTCGTATAATGTGTCCAAAGAAGAATAATTAAACAGATTGCATAGGTTTGTTTCTGATTTTTTTTAAACTATGTGAAATTCAGTTTTCATTCAGAGAACAACAAATGTCCTGAGAAACACCTTGTGGCATCTCTTTGCTCAGCAGTATTTAAATGTTTTATAAGATTTCAAGAGAATGAAGCTTTTTAGCATTTACAAATAACAAGAGTCAAGATTTTGGCATTAAGCTCAAAGATTTATACTCTTTTTCATATTAATATAGTAAATTGAACAATTATTAGAATAATGATTTGTCTGCATAACTGCAATAATGATGTGTCTGCATAATTGCTAGAACAATGATGTAATGCATAATCACTGGGAAAATTCACTGGGAAAGTTCTCTGTCAGTAATATGTGGCAACCAAATGCGCTCTGCACATGGATACTTTGTATGTAGCAAAACCTTCC